GGAGGGAGATTGCCCTCATCGGAGATCTGAGACGGGATCCCTCCGGATCTTCTCTTAGGCGGTGACGTATCCGGTAACTACCTTCTTTCTCTTGAAGAGCTTCTTAAGTCCTTTCTTCAGCTTTCTGAAAACTCTGAGGAATCTCTTCTCCCGTTTCGGCTGATCCTAGAAGGGAAGAGAGAAGCGGTGGTTGGTCTAGGGCTGGTTCCCCCCAACGACCAGGGCGAAAAGCAAGGCACGTTCAGAATAGTCCTCGACTTACGACCCCAACGTTTCTGCTGCTGAGCGAGACATTTTATTAAGCGAGCTTTGCCCCCCACTTGACGACTCTTCCTGCCACAGTGGATATGTTGAATTGCTGTGGTTGATAGACGAGTAACCTGGTTGTTAAGTGAATCCGCATGGACTTTGCTGGTCAGAAGGTCACAAAAAGGGGAATCATGTGACACCCTGCCCAGGACACTGCGGCCGTCACAAATATGAACATCTGAATTTGGATCATGTGGCCATTGGGATGTTGCCATGATTGTAAACGTCAAACAGGGTCACGAGTCACGTTTCCCAGGGCCGTCGTAACTTTGGACGGTCACTAAACAAACTGTTGTAAGTTGGGGACTGTCTGTGCAGAATACAGAATTGCAGAATTGTAAGAGGCCTTGGAGGTCTTCTAATCAACAGAACTCAACTATGCAATAGCAATAGCAATAGCAGTTAGACTTATCTACCGCTTCATAGGGCTTTCAGCCCTCTCCAAGCGGTTTACAGAGTCAGCATATTGCCCCCACAGTCTGGGTCCTCATTTCACCCACCTCGGAAGGATGGAAAGCTGAGTCAACCCTGAGCCTGGTGAGATTTGAACAGCTGAACTGCAGAACTGCAGTCAGCTGAAGTAGCCTGCAGTGCTGCATTTAACCACTGCGCCACCTCGGCTCCGCACCATTCAAAAATCCCGGAGCACCGGGGAATTACCTGAGGATTGGGGAAGGGCAGATGTGGTTACCATCTTCAAAAAAAAAGGGGGGGGGGAATACAGACCCAGGAAACTACAGACCAATCAGCCTAACATCAGTACTTGGGAAGATACTGGGGGGAAAAAATAATAATAATAAAAAACAGATCTGCGAACATCTGTAAACAAATATAGTTATAACTAGTAGCCAACATGGGTTTGTTAAAAACATACCATGCCAGACTAATCTTATTGCATTCTTTGATAATGTGACAAAATGAGTGGACCAGAGGAATGCCGTCGATATAGTTTACTTGGACTTCAGTCAGGCTTTTGATAAGGTAGAGCATAACCTACTACTAGATAAAGTAGAAGAACGTGGGTTAGACAGCATCACCACCAGATGGATTCGTAACTGGCTGACCAACCGCACTCAACNCTGGAGGGCCTCCAAGGTCCCTTCCAACTCTGTTATTCTGTCACAGATCCCTCCTCTATCCATGGGCTGAGAGTTGACGGAGAAATGAGAAGAAGGACGTCCCTCAAGACCAAAGTAGCCGGGAAAGAGAACTCCAGTTTCATCTCTGCAAAGAAGGTCCTACAGATGCCCCCTGTCCATGTCTCCATCTAAAATACATTCCCAACCCAACATCTCCATCTAAGAGCATCTCCAACCCCGCTGGGCACCGGCCACTCACCCCGTCTTCTTGAAAGCTGCATTCCTCCAGGGAAAGTTCCTCTCCCACCTTACACACCGTCTCCTTGATGGTGAAGTTCAGCTCTTGGTTGCCTTCAGAAAGAGGATCCTGAAACAAGACACGGTCAAACAGGTGGTTAGTTTGGAGACCCCCCCATGAACTTCCTCCCACGTCCCCTTGGGACCACGTTGACTGAGTCTTGGTGGAGCCACCAGAACATATCTACAGAGCAGGTTCCATGCAGGTTCCAGAAGTTCTGGATTCCATGCCCACCATCCTGATTGGTCTGGTTGAAGGATCTTGAAGAACTTTGTGGTGGAACTGATTCCACCTTTTCAGCTAGCTTCCCGCCAGGGAAGTGTCTACTCTACAAAAAAAAATCTAAAGAGGACAAATCAAGTCTAGTTTAGTGGAAAGAAGAACCAGGGGTGACATGATAGCAGTCCTCCAGTATTTGAGGAGATGCCCCACGAAGAGAAGGGGTCAAGCTATTCTCCAAAGCACCTGAAGGCAGGACAAGAAGCAACGGATGGGAACTCATCCAGGAGAGAAACATCTGAGAAGCTTCCTGATAGACTAATCAACCAGTGGAACAACTTGTCTTCAGAAGTTGTGGGTTCTCCATCACTAGAAGAGTTTAAGAAGGGAGTGGACAACCATTTAAGAAGGGAATGGACAAGAAATCAAGGAGCGAAGGAACCTAGAACTAAGGAGAAATTTCCTGACAGGGAGGACAGTTAATTGATGGAACAGAAGTTGCCTTCAGAAGTTATGGGTGAGGTCTTCAAGGAAGAGACTGGATGGACTTTGGTGCAGAAGAGGAGAGGATCTCCTGCTTGAGCAGGGCGTTGGACTAGAAGACCTCTAAGGTCCCTTCCAGCTCCGTTGTTCTATGTTTCTAGGTTTCCAATCCCCGGTGGACCCAAATTGAAGGGTAGGTAAACCAAGATCTCCATGCCAGGAGAACAGGCTGGGTGGGTCTCACTTTCTCAGCTACCCCTCAGGACAGCTTCCCACAAAGGATGATGGGTCTACTCTACTCCACACAGGTGCACGGTGGACCTCAACTAGGCAGTACTTACCCACTCAGGTGGAGGAACAGCTTCCAGGAGACGATAGAGGGTGCCTTCCCCAGATTTGTTGTTGTAGGTGCTCACTGCAAGGTTCACAGCCTCATCATAGGTCAGGGGTTTGTGTGCGAGGGTGGAGGTCCCACCGATGGCCAGGGCTCCAACCACCAGCAAGGCCTTCCAGAAGCACCCTTCCATCCTTGGTTCTTCTGCTATGGAGCTCCACAGCTGATTTGGTTACCGAGACCAGGAGGCCTCCTTAAATACACCTCCTGGGCAGGACACCTCCTTACGGGGGGGAAGGGAGTGGGGGTTTTCCCCCACTGAAATCTTCATCGGCCCTTCCTGAAAAGGAGGGGTGGGAGACACAGATAAGCAACGTTTGTTCTGGCAAGTTTCCAAATCAGGTTTTCTCAATCTTGGCATTTCCCCAACATCCTGGGGCTGGGGAGGTTCTGAGAAGGGCAAGAGGTTGTGGTCAACCCATCTGAAAGTGCTCTTTGAATTGCCAAGGAGGAGGAGGAGAGGGGGAAGGGTCTCCTGCCGGAGCAAGGGGTTGGACTAGAAGACCCCCAGGGGTCCCTTTCAACTCAGTTATCCTGAGAGGGAGGAGGAGGAGAGGGAGAAGGAGAGAGAGAAGGAGAGAAAGGTTTTCTTGGTAACCATCTGCAGGCTCTGAAGTCTGTAGAGACATTCCCAAAATTGGCAAGTTTAAGATTATATATATTTTTATTTTTTGTTACAAATTTTAAATTCTTTTACGTACAAAGTGTTGTCCGGGTTTCCCCCCCCCTCTCACCTTTTACATTCTCTCTTATGCACAATTTGCTTCACCATTCCAATTTCAGCCCCATTATTTTCCCCCCCCCCCATATTTCCATCTTAAATATTAAATTTTTCTTAACGCATAGTATTTGTTTTTCGCCATTTCAAAAAAAAAAAAACCCACCAAATTTATCATTTCATTTTCCATTTGTTATTCTAATTTCTATAGGTAGCATATATCGTCAGATTCAATTTTAATGAAAGAAGCATTTTGCATAATGGGTTGTCCACAATTAACAATGTTATTTTATTTAACTATATATCATTAGCAGTATTAACATATTTCATTTTCTACTAAGGCATTCTCTTCTTTCCTGTCCTCCTTTCCTAACCATTTTTTCTTAACTCATCATAGGGGACTGGAGACTAAAACATATGAAGAACGGTTGCAGGAACTGAGTATGTCCAGTTTAATAGAAAGAAGGACCAGGGGAGACATGATGGGAGTCTTCCAATATCCCAGGGGTTGCCACAAAGAAGATTTTGGGGTCAAGCTATTCTCCAAGGCACCTGAGGGCAGAACAAGAAGCAATGGGTGGAAACTAATCAAGGAGAGAAGCAACTTAGAACTGAGGAGAAACTTCCTAACAGTGTGGGTAATTAACCAGTGGAACAACCTGCCACCTGAAGTTGTGGGTTCTCCAAGCGATTGGATTGCCATTTGTCCAGAACGGTATAGGAGCCAATGGTGGCGCAGTGGTCAGAGTGCAGTACTGCAGGCTGCTTCTGCTGCCTGCCTGCAATTTGGCAGTTTGAATCTCACCAGGCTCAAGGTTGACTCAGCC